TGGGATTGGTGCAGTAATTTCACACACGTTGTGCGATGGATCTCAGAAGGAAATCGCCCATGCCGCTAGAACACTTACGAAGGCCGAGAGAAATTACAGTCAGATCAAGAAAGAAGCATTGGCGATTGTGTAAGCGGTCAAGAAATTCCACAAAATGCTGTACGGCCGCCGCTTCAAGTTTCTGACAGATCACAAGCCCTTACTAGCAATCTTGGGTACGAAAAAGGGCATCCCGGCCTACACAGATAACTGGCGACAACGTTAGGCTCATAACTTAATGAGGTATGAGTTTAAGAACCACTACCAGTCGACAATTTATATTGGCCAAGCGGATGCCCTAATTGATGCCCATCAGCAAGAACATGTGGACACAGTCATTGCCTCGGTCGAGATCGAACCTGACGTCAACTATCTGGTGAATGACACATTGCACGATCGGCCAGCTACCGCAGAAGCCGTACGAAACGAAAGCTTTCGGGACAGAGTACTCAAGAGAGTCACACAGTTCCACAGGACGAGTTGGTCACGTTCATGTTCATCTATCGAGCTGCAACAGTACTACCGGAGGAGACATTCACTCTCTACTGTGAAGGACTATATACTATTTTTGGAAAGAGTTGTCATCTCCAAGGCACATCAGGAAGGCATTATTCGACAGTTCAATGCCTGACATCCTGTGATCAACCGGATGAAGGCGCTTGCCCGTAGCTTTAACCTGTTCTATGTTAGCTACTTAAATGTGTTGTACTTAGCCTGATGAGGAATCATCGAAAACGAGTTTGTTCTCTGTAGTGAGTTTTCATGAGCAGCTATGTATACTGACATTTCATAGACAGACAGCTAGAACAGGCTAAACGCTGCCAAAAGTGCGCCAATGTCTTAAAGTCGCTACAAAAAGTGGAGCGCCAGTCGTGGTTAAAAGCTAATAAACCATGGTGCCCCATCCATCTCGAATTCGAAGGACCGATCAACGGCCGAAATTTCCTTATCATAGTCGACTCGTTCAGCAAGTGGCTTGAAGTATTTCTCATGGTAGCATAACCACCGAAGCTACTGTATCAAGATTCCGAAGAACGTTCAGCAGATTCGGCTGTCTAGAAACAATTGTAACTGACAATGGCACGCAAATCACTTTCGCAACTTATACGGAGTTTTGAAAGCAATGCGCCGTCCAGCAAATTCGCTCACAGCTGTTTCACCCATAATCAAATGGCCAGGCGGAAAGGTTTGTGGTTACATTCAAGCGAGCTCTCAACAAGTCAAAAGGGGTGGGACGTATAGAGGAGAGGGTTGACCGGTTCCTTTTCCTCTAGCGACCAACACTGAATCCACAAGCGCCGGACGGAGTTTCTCAAGCACAGGCTATGATGAACCGGAAAGTTCGCATGTGTTTCGACGCCATCCGACCGCGCTCAGAGTCCTCTGTTGGTGAAAAAAATCGCAGAATGAAAGATTGTAACCGACGGCATATAACGAAGAAACGATCGTTCACACCTGGACAGACAGTGTTGGTACGCGAGTATCGGGAAGGCCACACGAAGAGGACGCCAGGGACGGTCAAAAAGGAGCGCGGAAATGCCATGCATGACGTGATCGTGGGAACAAAGATCTGGGACCGGCATACAAACCAGCTACGGCCAATGCTGTGTCAAGCAGACGAAGCAAAACCTGCTAATCTCCCATACAATTGATTGGTAGAAAGTTTCAACTTGTTAAAGGAAGCCGTGCACGACTGCTCACAATCGAGCAAGGAAAACAGACCACAGACGTCGGAACGCACTTCTCAAGCGCTTCAGCCCAAAAGATGGACCGAAAGGCAAAGCACACCGTCCCGAAGTGTGCAGGCTTTCATCATATACCGCGGACGCCATCATAGGAGAGGGGTGTCCGGAAGAAGAGAAAGATCCCCCGGAAAATCCACTATTTCAACGATTTAGTCAATTGTTATAGATTATCGCATCGACTTCGAAAGTTCTGGAATATTCCAGTACCTGCACGTGACTAGTAACCTCCTGAGCATCGGTTAAAACTAGGTCTAACAACTAACCTTGGCGGCTGACCTTCCTATTCCAGAAGTCGAAGTTCAGTAATTGGCCTATAAATAAAGCCAAGGTCCACTGCATTTGTACGGTGTTTTGTTGACGGTGGTTAATATGTTATTTTGTTAGGGTCGCTGGCGAACTGCTTTTACCTCGGATGGGCTAGAAGTCTCAATTATTCATTTGTTCGCCGAACTTGGCGGTTTTGTCGCAAACGTTTCACCGCAATGCGAGGTGACATCCGCAGTGCAGTGAGATGCAACGTGCAATCTTACTGAATGAATCCTAGATCGTGAGCGACTTGCAGGTGACTTTTGAAAGTGGCGGTGTCGATTTACGTCCCGTGACCTCTGTCTAGTTTCCCCAAGACTAATAATAACAAAATAATGTGTCAGCTGTACGCCGTAACGGCGCTTCGCTGCCGCGCAACCATCACCAGTGGTCGTACATCCTCCTCCCATTTCTGCATAACCATCTCTGCGATGAGTCCGGACACAGGTGATCCCATTGGTGCGCTTTCAATTGCTCATAAATCTTTCCATTGAATGAGAAGTAGGTCGACAGATAGAAGTGGAGTAGTTCGCATACATTTTCGGTCGTGATTTTTCAGATTTGTTGTTCATTGACGTTCAGCCGTTCTGTGCTGACCGCTATTGCTGTCTGCAAGTTAACTGACGTGAAGAGCGCAGTCACGTCGAATGATATCATTGTTTTATCATTATCTATTCGCAAGTCTTTGATCATCTGCAGAAACTGCTGGGCACTGGTTATGAAATATTGCGATCCATAGGTCAAATGTTTGAGGCGCCTACACATTTCTTTTACCGGGTTGTAGGTGGGTGTTCCAGGGAGAGCACGATAAGCCGCAACGGTGCATCATCTTTGTGCACCTTTAGGAGTCCGTAGAATTGCGCGATGTTCGAGTCGCGGGCTCTCATCCTGTCGCGCTTTTATTTTGTGATTTGCATCAATTCCTGAAGTTGCTTCAATGTTTTGTTTACTTTGTTTGTCAGCTGCGAAGTTGGATCGGTATCGATTCACCTGTAGGTTGTTATGTGGAGCATTAAAGTGTCTATTTTCGGAATCGTGTCAAGTGAAAAGATCATAACAGCTACTATGCAACATGTTTCCTCAGCATCGGAATCGCCTCTGGGTGACATACAGACAAACAGGAGGTAAGCCAGCGATGAAGCTCTTCACAGGAGTGCCCATTTTGTGTAAAGGCGTTTCGGAATAGAACGATGGATTGTTCTGTATACAAAGTGTGTTCTTCAGGCTCAAAGTACGGTACACATTAGTGTAGCGTTCCAAGAGGTGCATCAGCTAGGAAGATAGCGGAAGTTTAACGAGCAAACGTTACGATCAACGTTACGGTGCATCCGATGTTACTCTATGGACTTGACTAAACTCTGCGCATGGACGAATTCAAGAAACCTGTTGTCTTTGATCACCAGTGACTGCCATCTTATCTGGCGAAGCAAATGGATAAGGTGTGGGAAGTTCACCAGCTGGCGATGGACGACAAGCCCTGTGGAGAGGAACCAGTCCATCTCGAGAACTTGTGATGTTTACGCTAGACTCGCAATATCCTTCAGTCACTAATCGTTACTCGTCACCGAGTGATATTCTAAAACAGTTCGCCCGCCTTGCTAAAGGCTTAGGGTCGCCGACCGACGGCCTGACAAAAAGAAATGGGAGAGCTGAACGAAACTTGATCTGTTCCGTGGATGGCGTGTTGTTTGATCGTGGTCACCTGATCAGCCACATCAACAGATGGAAATGTTACCCGGAAGTAGGCAGTCGCGAAGCCAGTGGATCTCTTGCAAGTAGCTCAGCGAACGCTCTCACTGACATTTTATTGAACACGTTTTTTGCGCCGAAGGAATTGAGCCTTTCTTCTTCTTCTGTGGTTGGTTAATCTGTGTTTAATTATGATGGCAGTCCTAGTCTCGTAAAGCATGTCCATTACGATTCGATGCCGTGGATCAGAGTTGAACGAGCTGAGCTGCACAATCTCCCGTTAATAGTTACCTCAATGACTGCTTTTCAGAAAAGAAATGATTGTGATAAAGGAATAAAAGTGCACCGACAGAAAAATACGCGCCACTATGACATTCAGGAACTGAAATTGCCGACACGAAACATTAACTTCGAGCTTTTCGCTCAAGATTACAGAGACAGGAAGAAGGTACATCGAAGAACATGAAGATGTCATTAGATGAGTTATGGGTGATTCTTGGATGCCGATTACCGTAGTTCTTGTGTCAAAAATTTGTTTCAGTAATAAATGGGGAAAACCCTTCACTGGAACTCCCTCAGTTATCAAATCAACATAGTGAGCTTATTCGAATTCGCACAACATTCATGAACATCGAAGAACAGAGAAATACGTGAGGAATGTGGCTGCGAGGTGACACAATAGAATTCAATTCCAGGGACGTGTGACAAATAGCCGGATATCGAAGAGTAGATCAGAATGCTCAGTATAGTGCTTCCATCCCAGTAACAACAGGAAAAATGTCAGTCTCTTATGGCACCCGTATTTGCTAACATGTGACGAGCCAGACTATGCCCGATGCAGCAGTTGGAAGCAATTGATGGGTCTGTGTTGCCCTAATCCAGTGTCGGCCGGTGGCCGAGTGGTCTGCGTGCTTGGTTTGCAACCATAAGGTCACCGGTTCGAATCCGCGTAGGGGTGGGCGTCCTCGCGGTATACTCAGCCCATGCGCGACTGGTGGTGGTCGCGCGGCAGCGAAGCGCCGTTACGGCGTACAGCTGACACATCCACGATCCATCCATCCAAGCTAAAAGATCTAGCTCACACTGCAAGAAAATCGACCCGTATTCTGAAGGGATGGACAGAGGATCCAGGGCAACGTCAGCCAAAAGTGTCGGAGGAATGGATAATCAAGAAAGCGAATTGTAGTTCATTTGACTCCAAAAGGCATGGCTAAAACGTACTTGAAGATCCATTGCTTCTTGTTTTGTTCGAAGACGCCTCGAGAGACAACGGACGAACTCGAGTTCGAAATTGGCAGCCGACTTGTCTAAGTCGGCTAATCTCGCGCACAGCTCCTCCGGCACGTACAGCGACGAGGGTGGAGGAAGACGCAATGGTTGACGATACACATCGGGACCAAGTTTTGCCTCGACGATAGCCAGAGTGCATAGGCTGTTCGCATCGTGTCCGGCTGACAGGGATGCAGAAGTAAAGTAGGGTGCGTCAGGAGGGGACATGTCTGAGTGGGTACGAGAAGTAAAGTTCTTCGCAGAACAATCGAAAAATGGTTCAATACTGGTAAAAAAGGATCAAGCTTAACAGGTCCCGTAGGGTGATCGTAGTGAATGATGCAAAATATGCACGAGGTTTCAGAAAAGTAAGTTCACACCGGTGAACTGACCGAGATATAGGTATTAAAAGCTACAAATTCCCTGTAAGTCCATGAGGAATGATGACAAATGGCACGTTTGAAAGGCTGTCACCTCCTGGTAAACACGCACAGGTGAAAAATGTGCAACGTACTCTGGGAGCTGACCAGTAGTGAAATCTATAACAAACAGGTTTAGGCATAGACAGTGAGTCGTGTGATATGGTGCAGCGAAATGAATGCACGGTCAACTCGGGTTTTGAATGCCACCAGAGTGTGAGAACAGATGACGGATTCCGGTAAGACATTTCACGCTTGGCAACCACGTATGGAAGAGAAATTCCGACGGGGACAGTGAGAGAAAGTATAGCCCCAAAAGTTTCACCTAAGATAAAAATGTAACGAACTCACACCACGCTAGTATCCAATTTCATTATGAGCCAACAGAGACACTGAAGTTACAACGTTTTTACACGAACTATGCTCGTGCAGTGGACTGCAGGCTTAAATGATCTTTGAGATGAGGTACATGTGAACAACACGTTATGTACCACTTCTAAGAGAACGGGAGTAAAGAGAATCGAAGGGATGAGATGAGTAAGGCTAGTTTCTTCTTGTTCGGCTTAGTTGATCCACACGAGTCTGTATGATAAGTCCGATGGGCCCAGTTACGCTGACGTCACTAACATAAGAACAATAATCACTAAGAATGACCAAAGCTAACTGGGGAATGTGAGAAATATGAACTAGATCAAAAGAGTGGAAGCATCCGAGTGGAAGACTTAAGGGTCAAATTGGATGGGCGACTGCGGAAGATGTGGCTTAACCTAAAGTCTCATAGGAGTAATAATAATAATAATAATAATAATAATGTCAGCTGCACGCCGTAACGGCGTTTCGCTGCTGTGCGACCAACATCAGTCGCACGCGGACTGAGAATACCGCCAGGAGAAGCTATCAAGTTTGATCGTGTCGCGAATCTAACCTACACACACGACGGAGGTAAGCGAATCAGAGGCGATGGAGATCACCCTTATTGATAATAATGCGAAGGTGAGCACTCGTTGAAAATCTGAACTTAATCAGAGACGCTCTGCTCGGTTTTCTGCTCCTATTCTCCTAAAAATACGTCGTAGAAGTCATGCATCAAAGCTAGCTGCCGAATTCCAAGGGAGATAGATTAAGTTTATCTAGTCCCAGTTTTATGCAATATGAACAGTCAGATCTCCCGTACGACTTTTGTGTGCGGGGCGAATCTAAAGCAACGATCCTACGAGCATCGCGATCACTGACCAATAAAGAAACCATGGCTTCTGTCCGGATGAGTGGCTTTTCAAAGAGTGAAGGCCTCAGGCGTTTGACAAGTTGCGAATAAGGTGTCCCCAGCTCGACGTACATAGTCCAGCTAACGTCATGTTTCGTGTTGTTAGTTCCCGATGGTTAGCACGACCAGATGTGATTTTCGTCTCCAAAGCAAGATGGGGCAATGGGGCTCAGCGACCTCTTTTCAGGCTAGCACGTAATTTTGTCTTGGGTTCATTGCGAGCCTTAAGGAACAAGTGTCGGTAAGCACCGAAAAGCTGCGACCTGCGGAGAAATTTGTTTCGCAAGCAAAGTAATTGGAATAACAACATGTCCAGTGGGAAACAACGCTGAGGTAGATCGTTAGGAACGAAAGTGAGTAGTCCTACAAGTGATGCCGATGGCCAGAATAGGTGGTTGTGGAACCATTATTAATATCAATTTGCAAATATGGTGGTGGGGTCGTCGTAGGAGAGAAACCAACCAAAAGTAAACGGGAAGTGACTCGTCGAGGTTCGCCCTGAACGTTTTAAGAAAGCTGAGGATGCGCCTTGCGTTATAAAGGTAAAATAGCGTTAGTCCACGGAATCATGTCTCGATTTTAGTGGAATCCTATAAAAGAAAATTAAAAATGACAACCGGTAGAGGCGTCCAGATTCCCATTGACCGTTTGTTGCCAAAGGTTTTAAAAGGGATTGCCAGTTTGAGAAGACAAGTACGCGATCTCGATGATCTGAAGTGGATAGATGCTTTCCAATAGCAGTGTCAAGTATCGCACCATTTAAAGGAAACTGCTCGTCTCCGCTGACTTGCTTGAAGATGGGTTTCTAATCGTTGTACACCAAAGTAAAAAAAGAAAGGGAGAGAAATACTCACAAGTGCCAGGTCTACAGCTGACAGCTTCACCCATATGCAGCAATGGAGAAGCGGCGATTGATGATACCATTGTAGCTGAGCTTATTGAGGGGGAAGATGCGTGAAGATGTCCAGCTACGTCCGGTAAACACGCCGTGGGTAGGATGTGGTTGGAACTTGTGCTGCTAGGCAAATCGGATAAACTGTCTCGATCGATAGCCGCAAGCCCCAGTTCGATGACGTTTGAAACCAGGCATTGCACCTGTGATAAAATGTCCAGAAATTCAGATGCAGCAGGCTGAGCAGAGCGCAGGTCAAAGTCACGTGGGGAAGTCCTGAGTGAAGGAGGACAGAGAACAGGTGAAATAAGCGAAGCGTTAATTTGTCAACGCATAGCAGTTCAATCCAGCTCCATTTAACATATATGATCCGCGTACCGAGATGAAGTGGGTTCATCTGCCATGACACACGTCAGTAAAACAGAGATAACAGTAGTTATGCTAAATAATGGTAATAAAAACTAAAGAAAAATGGACGAGGGTCGAATTTATCTGATGGAAAAGTCAAGAGATGGAAATAATGGAACGAAAGTAAGAAAGTCGATGGCTTCGTGATCACGCTTTGTTGTCATATCACTGACTGGATACCTCAGGGTTTCAAAAATATTGTCAACGGATTGAGGAACAGCATACATTGGGGCAGCTCGTATCTAGGGGGTGAGGAACACATGATCAGGAAAATAGAGGCGGGTAGTACGGCTACGTTTTACTTAAGTCTGGTGAACTAGTACATAACTGGCTTAACATCTATAACAACTTAAGACGAAGATTGCGAGAAATAACCCAAGTCAATGGAGAAGTGTGGCTACATTTTCAATTGGTCAAGGGGTCATTCCAATGGTAGAATGAAGATGAAACGTAACAAATTGATCCGCGTCAAAAGTCATTCGTATGTAAAGTGCACTTGTTGCTGGCCTGTAGTTCTAAGGTTCAAAAACTGCCTTGTAACCCGAGGGCGCGTGTACGAGTCTGCGTTGGGACGAGTCGAACCTCGCAGTATCATTCGCCCGCGTGCGACTGGTGGTGCTTGTGCGGCAGTGATGCGTTGGTACTGCGTAGCGGCGTACTGCTGATGCCTAAGGTGTTATTGTGCCAGTTGCTGTTGATCCTACTGATGATAGTTCGACGACTTCGCTCCAACCTAAATCCGTTCGCCGACGATGTTAAGACAGCCCGGCAGGTGTTCAACACTTCCACTGTGTCTATTCTGTTCATGCAGTTATTTCTGCCCTGGTAATATCTATCACCTCAGCTATTAATCCTTGGCATGTTAATCGTACCCTTTTCCTAATATTTCTATATTTTTTAGTCGACTTCATGTCCTGAGTTTAGCACGTGTATCTCTACCAAAAAACCTGAAATTATCACTTACCGGTCAGTTCCAAGTTTATTCAAAGATATCGAAAGTGGAGGCGATCAAAACCTACATTAAATCCAATGTGACACGGAGCGGGGGGCTACCAAACACTAAATGACGAATTCCAGTAAATAAAGCAATAAATTTATGGCAGTTGTTTCATCTTACCAATTTGAAAAATACAGTGAGAAGACGAACATCAACGGACGTGTGCATTTCGTTTCGTCTCTTTAGTGCCGAAAACGATGACTGGAAGTGAAATGCAACTCAAATGGTGCAAACATGCAAACGGACGAGAGGAAACAATGAAAGCGCAGCTTTATGTCCAAGGCAACCTGAGGCTGACCGATAGTTGCTTTTGAACACAAAGCTCCGGTTTGATCCGGTTTATCGCAACAGCCTCAGCGAAGCGAAGGAGACGGGAATTGGTATGCCGCAGCAGAACCTTGAACGACGTGCTGACCTCGATTCGGTGACCTGAGATCAAAAATGCTTGCAGATTGAGGAGGAATGGGTAGCCTGAGTTGGGCATGCCTATTGAGCAGGCTCGTGTTGGGGCCACTTCAGAACGTGCTCCTTCATCTGGATACTTAAGGTCCTATCATTTCTGCTCGCATAACTAGCTCCTCAGTTACGTACGAATTGGTACACACAATGCGAGTTGGCCCCAATAGGCTGTTCACTTCAGTTAGGCAGCAGCAACTTGTGGGTTCGGTCGATAATGTTTAATTTGGTCGCCCGAAGGTGCCCTGCGTGACCGCGACTAATCGTCTAGTGGTCCTCATTGTAGTAATGTCATCCTTAAGGTGGAACTCAAGGAATACGTTACTTTTACGCACGGTGGACAACGGCTCTTTAGTTCGGCTGATTTGACTATGCCTTTGATTAACCTACGAGGGTAGCCATTTGCAATTAGTGTACTAGTAATCAGTCACAGTTCGTCGGCCAGGTAATCGGTCGAACATATTCGTCAGGCACGACTAAATAAGGTATTCATCAGCGTCCGTTCGTGCCGCATTGGTGTAAAGCTGGTAAAATGCAGGTACTGGCAGGACGACGTGGCTTTTCTGTAGACAGATCTTTAATGCTGTCCGTTTTCTCTGTAGCTGATAACGATATCCAAATAAGGGAGGCAGTTCTGCCGCTCAACTTCACAAGTTTGTATGCGCAGCATTTAGAAGCGTCACCAGCTGTGTGATCTGCTGCTCAGCGGAGCAAAACGCTGGGATGTCATCCATAAATCGTTTATAGTGTGGTACTTGAGCTATTTCTTCAGATATGCTTCGTTCTATCATCAGCATAAAGAAATTTGCTAGTATAGTCCCAGCGGACTGTCCATGGCTAGCTCATCAACCTGACGATACGATGTTTCGGAAGTGAATTTTGATGTTTTCCGTACACAGTAGCAGCGATTCTGTTAATAATTCAACCGCTATGGGTATCGAAAAGCCGGAACTTTCTGCTAATTCACAGATATAGTCAACAGTATGGTGCAGCGGGACGTTAGTAAACAACGATTCTACATCCACGAAACACATCACGAGGTCAGGAAGTATAGCTCACGGTATGCCACGAACACAAAAATGTTATGGAAATCGAATACAATTGGCTGAAGCGATGTGTGCAAGTTAATGGAATAGAGTACAGGGAGATATTTATATGAGAAAGAAAAGCAGTAAGGTAAAAACTGTAAACCCACCACCTGAAATAAAGAGACTTAGCATGCAAGCACGCGGTTAGCAAATCGAATTCAGCGTGCCTACAAACGCTGCGCCGGCTCGTCGTAATTCTCTGCAGGACCCGTCGTCGCTTCTGTAGTGACCCCAAAGGACCTAGCTCATGACCCACTAGACATTTATATGAGAAAGAAAAAAATTAAGAGAGAAACGAAAACCCACCACCTGAAATAAAGAGACTTGGCATGCAACCATGCGGTTAGTAAATCGAATTCAGCGTGCCTACAAACGCTGCGCCGGTGCTGCCTACCTTCACTGCGGGACCCGTCGTCGCTTCGGCAGTGGTCCCGAGTGACCTCGCTCATGGCTCACTAGGCCTGCCTGACTAAGGCACTCGCGACCGCATGTTCTACAGCACAATGCGCTCGATGTCGATGGAGTACAACCCATCGGTGCTTGCCGCTTCCGCAACTGCCGCTTCTTCTCTGCATGCATGAGGGATTTCTCCCGCACCTCAGCAACTGCCTTCGTGATTAGATCGCGCCACGCACGCCGATCAACCGCCTTCGATTCCCATGATCTGCAATCAAGATGAGAACGTGTGAGGCTCACTTTAATCATGTCCTGGTAACGTAACTTTGGTTTCCCAGCATGCCGCTTCCCAATACTCAGCTGACCGTATAAGAGTTGTTTCGGTATCCGCGTCGAATACATACGGCTCACATGACCGAGCCATCTCAGGTGTCTCAATAAAAGTATGCAGTCCACTGCATACATCCCACTTCGGCGCAACACTTCCGTGTCTGCAACTCTGGCGCCCCTGCCGATCCGCAGAATTCGTCGCAGACACTGCTGATGGAACCGCTCGAGATATCGCACATCCCGCCGGTACATCGTCCACGTTTCACTGTCGTATAGAAGAACGGACAGTACCATGGATTTGTACACCATCAGCTTCGTGCCAATGCTAAGCTGATGGTTGTTCCACACTCGGTACTCAAGCTTCCCGAAAGCCGCCGCCACATTCGACACGCGATTACGCAACTCAACGTGTAGCTGTTGATCAGTCGACATCACACTCCCAAGGTAGCAGAAGCGGGAGGTGGTTTCCAATACTTCAGCACCAATGCTGATTTGCGGCAATATTGAAGATTGCACCTCCGGTGAAGGCTGAAAGAGACAGACAGTTTTGCTTGTGTTGATGGTGAGCCCGAATTTGGCCGCTGTCGAAGCCAGAGCACTAGTCATGTGCTGCAACTCATCCGCGTAGTGTGAAAACAACGCACAGTCGTCAGCAAACAGCAACATACGGATAGTTGTCTCACAGACTAGAGTTCTCGCACCGAAACGACGGATGTTCAGCAACCCACCATCAATAAGGTGCTCCACATAAACACCGTAAGCAAAAGCCGCATCAAAAGCACAAGACAACATTGCATGAAGATAGATATTAAACAGGGCAGGAGCTAACACACAGCCTTGCTTCACACCAGAGACAACTGTAAAGTCATCAGAGGTCTCCCCACTCAGCTGCACCCTCGCTCGCATACCACTGTGCAGATATTCAATTAAACTTACAAACTTACGCGGGCAACCAAACTTACCCAACACCAGCCACAATGCCTCGCGGTTCACCGTATCAAATGCCTTGGTGAAATCAACAAAAGCGAGTACAATGGCTGGTGTCGTTCTCTGCACTTCTCTTGCAACTGACGAGCCGCAAACACCATATCTATAGTGCTGCGACCCGAACGGAATCCACACTGCTCTTCCGCCACGTTAGGTTCCACAATCTGACTCACGAGGCGATTGAGCAGGATTCGGGCAATCACCTTGCCCACACAACTCAGCAAGTTGATACCACGATAATTCGTTCAACATTGCTTGTTACCTTTGCCCTTGTACAGTGGTAGCACAAGGGCATCCTTCAGCTCAGCAGGCACCTCCTCAATCCACAGGCGTTGCACCTAGTGGTGCAGCGCAGTCAACAACGCGGGTCCGCCGTGTTTCAATACTTCAGGCGGGATCCCGTCGGCTCCGGCACACTTGCCGTTTCGCAGCTGAGCAAGTGCTGTCTGCGTCTCATCCCGTGTCGGCGTATCCGCCAGATGCGCCTTCACATCGTGCTGCCTCAGGCCGTTCAATGTGGGCCAGTCGATCTCTGAACGGTTGTTCAAGAGACCTTCAAAATGTTTCCGCCAGACCTGCGTTAGGTCTGCAGTCTGGGTGCAGGGAGCGCCTGAACTACCATTGATCAGTGTCCTCAGCGGCTCCAATCTCGGTCCATACACCACCTTCAACGAGTCAAAGAATTCCTTGTGATGATGGCGTTCGGCGTAGCATTCCATCTGCTTAGCGTTCTCCTTTCAGCATGCATTTTTACTGCGACGGAGCTCTCGCGTCAGTCGCCGTCGAAGTTTGCGAAACTGACTCTTCTTCCCCAAGTCACTGGGGTCTGCAACATGTGCAGCAAACGCCGCATTCTTCTCCGACACCAATGCGCGCATCGTCGCATTTTTGTCATCAAACCAATCAGGCCGCTAACAGTTTGCGCGCCCGATGGTCTCCTCGGCAGCAGCTGTCACCTGGTCGCCAACGTGGTGCCACAGGTCGCCCACTGTGGCTATGCATTCCACATCACACAGGCGTGCAGCCATCGCCTTCTCCAACTCAGTACGTTTCGCCACAGTAACGATGGAGAGAATGTTAAATTTACGCCGATTCACGGCGAGAGTGCAATACATCGATTTACGAAAATATATGTACAGTTTGGTCCCAACCAATTTGTGATCAGTGCCACACTCAGCTCCACGCAGTACACGTGTCATGCGCACTTCACGCATATCACGCTGACGTACGATGACATAGTCGAGCAGGTGAGCGTGACCATTCCGTGGGTGCGTCCAAGTTGTTATATCACTCGCACTCAGTGCAAACCGAGTGTTCGTGCTCGTCAGACCGTGAGTGGCACACAGTGAGAGCAGCCTGTCACCGTTCGCATTCGCTAAACCAACGCCATGTGAACCGATTACATCTCTTTACACCGCTGCATCACGCGGAACGCGCGCGTTGAAATCACCCAGCAGAAATAGTCGGTCGCTCCTCGGCACAGACCGTATCACGGAGGATAGCCCAGTGTAGAACTGATCACGCGTGTCATCAGGATAACACATGGTCGGAGCGTTCGTGCTTGTAAAAGTAGCAAACTTACCTCTTCCAACTCGTAGGCGAACAGACATCAGTCGCGCGCTGATGCCCGTTGGTTCACCTACCAACTGGACATTCAGGCGGCCGGATATTGCAAATTCGACCCCATGTTCACGTGGTGCTGAGGCGGCGTTCCCCACCCAGTAGAATGTGTAGCCAGCACCTCCTTCATGCAACTTATCTTGCACAGCGAGCCGAGTTTCACCAAGCGCCGAAATATAGATGTGGTAGCGCGCCAGCTCCATCGCGACCAGTGCAGTGCGTCGCTCCGGGCGCTCGCTCGAGTTCCGGTCCAGTAGTGTGCGCACGTTCCAGCACCCGATGCTGAGTGCTTTGCGTGCAGGCATACGATTGCATTGGTAGGCAATCGCACGCGAGGTGGTCGTTGTGCTTAGGAGGTTTGCTTGAGGGACTCCACCCGGAGCCTTTGGCTCAATAGCCTGACCCACAAGGCAGTGGGTGGTTTGGAGGTTTGCTTGGGGGACTCCACCCGGAGCCTTTGGCTCAATAGCCTGACCCACAAGGCAGTGGGTTGTTTGGAGGTTTGCTTGAGGGACTCCGCCCGGAGCCTTTGGCTCAATAGCCTGACCCACAAGGCAGTGGAGAGCAGATCCAGCTCGGGAATGTGATTGCAGAGACAGATGGAGATCTGCTTGACGGCCGTCACACGCAGCCTTTGAGGTTCTGGAACAGTTATCATATGTTTTGCGACCGTAATTGGATACGCACCTGCGACCACGGCCAGACGCAGGTGGGTTTTGGCGGGTTTGCACCAATTTGACCAGGGGCTGCCTGGCTTGAGGCGGGCAGTAGCAAACCATTGAACACCCGGAGGTGTCCTCCCACCGTCAGAGACAATGCGTGGCACTCGTGCTCTACGCCAATCGAGCATTGCGAATATCACCCGTAACCTGTTGTCTCCCATGGCTAGGTTTTACGGGAAGTGGGCCATCGACCACTTCCTAACCTCCGGAGAGGATGGACTAGGATACTGCCAGGGCGCCCAATCCTGACAGGAGAACGACTCGGGTCCTCAGCCAAAGCCTTCGATTAAATGAACACCCGAAAGGCAGCGGGTCTAGCACATGGTCAGTTAGCTGACTGATGCGGATTGGTGTCCTGGATCTTAGCAGGGAGAAGGGCGAAACTTAACTCCCACCCAGCGGTCGCCACGTGGAGGGCCCAGGACATGAGACTATGGCGCAACAGTAGCAGCAGTGGGTAGCCCATCTGTCAGGATCTAGCGACCACCAGCCTCAACGCACCATAGGCTTCCCCGCTCTCTCTCTACTTATATATATACATATATATATATATATATATATATATATATATATATATATATATATATATATATATATATAACTCACTACAAAGTGGACATTTTGCAAACCACCATGGATAATCTGCAAACCATATTGGACAGATTACAAAAAATTGGACAGTTTGCAAACAAATTGGATTTTTAGCAAACCACTTTCGACACTGTGCAAAAGCAATTGGACTTCCGCGAACCATTTTGGTCATTTTGCAGTCCAGTTTGGACACACACCAGGAAATTAGCAATTCACTTGCAAGAAATATGGAGTAAGTTGACTAGACAATGTTCAGACTACATCGCAGCCATGCTAATGCAACCGACTTGTGTAACTCGCAGGTGCCACTGCAAACCCACCTCTTAATCGTGAACCTCGATTGCCTCGAGCAAAGGCGGTGACTGAGTATCCCCCTATGTCCCCATTTGTTTTCTCGTAGTTTATGTGCTTCTGACTTTACACATGGACCTGTGTGGCTATGTGCCTGTTGGAAAGTCCGACTTCCAAATCTCCTAGTCTACCGTGAATTAAACAAATGTTACCTAGCATTGGAGGGTCGTGGTGAAGCACTCGTTTTGAGAATGGGTTACGATGCGCCACCTCAATGTAGATCGCGATTCCCGCTGAATTGAACTTTGGCCAATTCGATCACTTCGACAGTGACTGGTGAAGCAGATAGGCGACGATCCAGTTGTCCCCTGTCTCTCTATGAGCCTTCGCGTATTTTGTGTAGGCTAACCTACTCAGCCACTCGATTATTGGATCAGTGCTGGTTATCATGACTCCACTAAAAATAGCACAGCTTTATTGGACTACTGCTACAAGTCGTTACCAAAGAAAGGGGATTAAAACGACTGGACCATGTTTAGACCACATTGTGCTCCCGCGAATGCAACGGGACTGTTCCAGCAGTGGGTGATTGTGCAAGCCATCCTCTCGATCATTGGCGTTGTTCACCTCGAGCAAAGCAAGCGACCCAGTTGTCCCGTGTCGCTCTATGTGCTTTCGCGTATTTGCTGTGAGTGTATGGGCGAACCTATGCAATGCAATCACTGGAACACTGTTGGCTATTATGAATCCACCTAAACCAATGTAGTTGCATTGATTTACATCTGTAGCATGTTATCAATTCAGGGAGGAGCACAATATTCCGGCTACATTGTGCTTACGCGAATGCAACGTAACTGCATAAACAGTGAGCGGTTTTGCAATCCCTCCCCTTGGTTGTGGGCATCAACTGGCTCGATGAGAACCGGTGACCCAGTTGTCCCCTGTCGCTCTATGGGCCTTCGCGTATGTTATTTGGGCGTGTTCGAGAACCCATTCAACCGCTTGATTATTTAATCATTGCAGACCATTATGACTCCATTGAACACAGCCTAGCTTTATTATCCTTTTGCTGCACGAAACGACCAACATAAGCAAAAAATGGTTAAGGACCGCATCTTCGATGCCTAGGCACTAGAACTGATATTTTTTGACAAAGACGCTCGTCGACGGCTAAACCACGCAGGAAACTGCTGAAGTTGCGTATTTCAAGGAGCGCACGGCAAGGAATATGATCATCACTTACAGGAAAGAATGCATGAATACTCCACGAAACGACAGGGAGTTTAATCCCGTTGTCATACAGTGCGTGGATGAGATAGCTGAACATCATTACGCGGGCACTTTGGTGTAGCTGCACGAGCAGCTGAAGATCGGGGCCCATGCCTAATTATCTACTGTCTTCAACGCTAACAGGAAGCTACGAATAACGCTCAACAAGTTCACTATGAGCAAAACGGCGACAACAGTGCCCCGACCACCGCAACCTGACAGGCCTATGCTATGGACATCTCAGTAAACGCCCTATTCTTTCATGGTAGATTCGGTAGTTTGGTTTCAAAAACCTCTAATTTAAAAGGAAAATGTTGTATTGAAAAGAAAGGGAGCATTAACGTTAAAAACCTTCAGTTAATGAATGGCTGTCCATGGGATGCTTTTGTCAGGCCCAGCGTCATATTGAGGACGGAGTTCATGCAGTCCAGTTTCGTTACCGTTCCATTACTCTCTTGAATGACCATCTGGTTAGGCGTCGGATTGGCAAACAAGCGTCTCGCTGATGCTATCACCTTCGAAAACAAATGTTCTACTGGGTTTAGTATATACGAGTAAGGCGAGAGGAACTTAAGCAGATAGGATGAGCACAATATCCTCCTTAGATCAACCGGTATGTGCATCTTGGTGTTGGCCATGGTTGGCCATCCACCGTGCATCTCCAATCTGCAGCGTATACGCTGTACAAGTTCCCCGACAAACGTGGAAAAATTTGCACCATTGCAAGTACAATCGCTGATGATTTTTGAGTGGACGAGGACTTGGTTGTACAGTGCCGAAATCAGCGTCACCATTCGGCTTCTGACTGTAGGCAAGACGACGTTCGCTCGCGTCCCTGCTCTTGAGCCAGCTAGAGTCCGTCGCATGTGAAGATGGAACTCGCTCTCATCTATGAAGATGTATGTTTGTTTGTCATTTAGTGAACGTAAAGAGAAGTCAAGAGCGTAAACTTGCCGCCCCGGGAAGGTCGTGGCACTGTTGATGCGGTCTAACTCGTGGTAATTCTTGAGCGCTATCCTTAACCTACTGAGAACGTTGAAAAGAGTAGATAATGATGGATAGATCCCGATCTCGCTCAGCCGCTGATGTAACTGCTCCACCATTGTCTTCGGAATGTCGTTCAGCGGTTTCTTCAACCCGCTGCTGGACATCGGGAGTCAGCTTCTCCCTGTTGTTTCCATCACATCGGTGAACAGCGTTCATGCCTTCTCCCCTGAAGACACGGATGACGTTTCTTCCAGTGCTCTCCTTCAAATCGACGACTTCAGCAGCATCGCGGGTGGAATGCCTTAGACGAACGCAGGCTTAGTGTGTTAGATCTTCCCCTTTTCGCTATTCCGAATGAACCACCCAGGAATTTCTCCGCAGCAATTCTAGCCCAGCCGAAGAAAAATCAAAATTCCAACAGCCTTGACCACGAAAAACGTGTTAACAAAAACTCTGCCAACGTAGCCAGAAAATGCCGCCGAAAACACTGTCCTCTCAACTCTGAGGCAAAAGTCCAACTAGCCGGGTGTTTGAAAACGCATTCGTCCGCTCGATCGATTGCCTGATCGACCGCACGGGGTAGGCGATTCTCTTTAGCCCAGCTTTCAGTCACCATTATATACTTTCCCTTTTTTCTTTTATGTTTTTATCTGATTCCCGGATACCTCCCCTCCTGAAGCTGTTGCCGTTGTGCATGAAGCTAGCCGGGGATTAACCTGGAGCCTCCTGGAAGGGATTCTTCGCCTACCGGTGCATCGCCTTGGCTGTAGTGTTCTGGATTCGAATTCCGTACTCTGCGGTCTGGTATTATTCGTCTGATGACAGGGTTCTTCTACTGGCGCTGTAGGCAAGTTGAATCTGTCTGTCAACAGGTCAAATGGAAGCTTGGCGGATTCTATTGCTTGTGGCTGGCACATTGTTGTTCGCAGTTGGTTTGCATGGCGTACCCATACCTGCGTTCCAACCAGCACGTCGTAAATGACGCTTCCGCGCTTGCACTGGATCGCTCCTGGCGTCCATTTTGCGTGTCCACCCCGATAATCACGCACAAGTACTGGCTGACCCGGTGTAAAAGAACGTTGCTTGGCACCAAACCGCCGATTAAAATCACGTTCCATCTTTAGGTTCCTTTCACCAGCTATGGACTCTGAGGATGGCCGAACTGCATCATATGGCATGCGAAGTTTTCTCTTCATCATTGCCTCTGCTGGTGATATTCCACCCGGCGTTTGTGGATTTTGTGTAGATCGGTACAGAAATAGGAAGCGATCGATCACCTCCTCTAGGTCTCCCTCCCTCCTTGATTTGAGGAGAGCGCGTTTGAATGTATCCACAAACCTCTCTGCTTGGCCATTCGATTGTGGGTGGAATGGTGGAGACCGCAAGTGTTTGATGGCGCAGCGTTGGCAGAATTCCATGAATGTGGCCGAAGTAAACTGTGCTCCATTGTCCGTCACCAATGTTTCAGGGCAGCCGAACCTGCTGAAGATTTGTCGCAACCTAGAGACGGTTGCGCTGGTTTTCGTGCTTCTCATGAGGAACACTTCGGGCCACTTGCTATAAGCGTCGACCACTATGAGAAAGTTCTGGCCATTGATTGGGCCTGCAAAGTCTACATGAACACGACTCCAAGGTTTAGTTGGTTTAGGCCATGAGCGGAGTTCAGTCTTTGGCGGTGCCCCTGAGGCGGTAGCGCAGTTGCCACAACTTTTAGCTAGCTGCTCTAGCTGCCTGTCCATAAACGGCCAATATACATAACTTCTGGCAAGCGTTTTCATTCGGTTGAGCCCTGGATGTCCTGCATGGAACTGTCGCAGCACTCTTTGTTGCAACGCCTGCGGGATGACTACTCTGTCTGAGAACATGATGCAATCGTCCACAATGGAAAGCGAATGTCTTCGCTGATAGAACTGCTGCATTTCAGCAGATGAACACGAACGTGGCCAGCTGGTTCTGTGGAAGTGTGTCACCTTCTTCAGGATTGGGTCTCGAAGCGTTTCGGCCCGCACAGCATCGGCCGTAACTGGCATACCATGTAGTGCCTCGTTCACCAGGAATTTGACATCAGGTTCGATTTCAACTGAGGCAATGATGGTGTCCTCGTGTTCTTGTTGCTGGGAATCAATGAGGCGTGACAACGCATCTGCTTGGCCTAGCGAATTCGTTGACTGATAACGGATTTCAAAATCATAGCCCAGCAATGTAAGTGCCCATCGTTGGAGTCGATTGGCTGTATAGGCAGGAATTCCCTTCTTCGAGCCGAAAATGGCTAGCAGCGGCTTGTGATCCGTCAAGAGTTTGAAGCGGTGACCATACAGCATTTTGTGAAATTTCTTCACAGCAAACACTATGGCCAATGCCTCCTTCTCGATCTGACTGTAGTTTCTTTCAGCTTTCGTTAGCGTCCTGGCGGCATGTGCGATCGCCTTCTGAGATCCATCTGGGAACGTATGGGAAACTACGGCACCGATTCCTAGACTCGATGCGTCTGTGGCAAGGACAATTTCCCGGGAAGGATCAAAATGAGTTAGGAGTAAGTCTGAAGCCAACAATGACTTGACCCGCTCAAACACAGTCTGGCATTTTGGCGTCCAATTCCAGGTTTGGCCCTTGCTCAACAACTTATTCAATGGGGCACGCAGGCGATGTAGTTCGGGCAGAAAAGCGCTGTAATGACTGATTAGGCCACAGAATGAACGCAGCGACTGCAAGTCCACAGGTGGGGGCATCTTTTGAATAGCTCGGATATTTTCTGGATCAGGGCGACGACCGTCTTTTGAGAAGATGAAACCGAGAAACGTGATGGTTGGTGTAAAAAAGGTACACTTATCTTCGCGGATACGGAAACTATATGACTGGATACGTACAAGCACTTCAGCGAGCCGCTGAAATAGTTCTTCTGCCGTCCGACCCATTAAAATGATATCATCCAGGTACGCCGCGGCTCCAGAAACTCCCGCGAGCATGGTGTCCATCAGCTGCTGGAAAATGGCTGGTGCTGTTTTCAAGCCAAAAGGGAGGCGGTTGTATTGGTACAAGCCACGATGAGTGTTGATGGTCAGCAATTCTCTTGAGCTTTCATCAACCTCAACCTGGAGGTAGGCATCGGACAAGTCGAGCTTGGCGAAACACTTCCCACCATTTAGCTTGGCAAAGATATCTTCTAGTATCGGAAGGGGGTATTGATGGTCGTCCAATGCGGCATTCAAGCCGGTCGAAAAATCGGCGCAGACTCGCACTTTACCGTTCGGCTTTTTCACAGCAACAATCGGCGTAGCCCATGAAAAGTAGTTCACTGGTGTGATGACACCGGCTCGTTCCAGTCGGTCGAGCTCCTGATCAACTGCTGTCATGGCTGTATACGGTACCGGTCTTTTTGCTCTAAAGACTGGCTTGGTTCCTTCACGAAGACACAACTTTGCTTTGAACTTAGTGCAGTGGCCGAGACCATCTTCAAACAAGGTGACAAACTGCTGCTTTAGCTTTCTGGTCATCTCTTCTATCGACAATGATGAATGTACTGGGTCGGTTTGTACTGTATTGCAAATCTGACTCATTGGAGCATCAAACAGTTGTAATTTTTCCATCCAGTCAAGTCCAAGGAGGTTCAAGTTTGGTCGATCAGACAAGTAGCAGGTTCCGGCCTTTTCCACTCCGTTGAATGCAATTTTGCAATTTATTTCTCCGACCAACTTCAGCGCTCCACCGGATGCATTGTGAGCGATTTTGTTGGAATCAATCATTTTCGGCTTCTTTATGTGCTTCCAAGTGTTCTTGGAAATGATCGTTATATCTGATGCCGTATCGAAATGAAATGAAATGTGTCAGCTTATACGCCGTAACGGCGCTTCGCTGCCGCGCGACCACCACCAGTCGCGCGCGGGCTAAGTATACCGCGAGGACGCCCACCCCTACGCGGATTCGAACCGGTGACCTTATGGTTGGAAAGCAAACGTGCCAACCCCGCTGCAGCCGGGTTGGGATTCCGTTGATAAGCACAGTGATAAATCGGCGGCGTGTTCTAGAATGGCTGTGAAACGTAGCAATCACCGATAGTGATTCTGCGTCAGGTTTTCTGAAATTCTTCCTTCGGTAGGACTGCTTCACATTTCTTGGCCGGGACTGATGGCAAAAGTCTTCCTTGTGGCCGCGTTTATGGCACTTATCACAAATATGACGCTTGAACGGACAGTATCGTGCGAAATGCCATTCACCACATGACCAACAAGGTGTAGGCGGCTTGTTCGGCTTTCTGTTGAACGCCTTATTCGAGCCAGGCTTTCTTGCTTTTTGCACAGCATGAACAGTATCGGCAATGGTGGGGCAACTCTGCTCAATCATAGCCGTGTCGTGTTTCAAGGTAATTAACCGTTTGCATTCGCCTACAAGAGACTTCAATGTCAAATCTGGATCTTGCTCCAAATTAGCAAGCAGCCGAGTGCGGATTTCCGCGTCGCGTGGAGACTGTAAAGCACTGACAAATATAAGACACTTAAACTGGTCATCCGTCAAACAGCGTAATTTGAAACGTTCACATTCGCGGTTAACCATGTCTGCTAGTGCCCCATAATCGTCTGTATAACGCTTTACAATTTTTAGACATTGATAGCGAATGCTAAACAATGATGTTGACTCACCAAAAATTTCTCTGAGTGTTGCCACTGCTTCGTTGAAAGTGATGTCCTTCGGCTCTTTGGGCAATATGTGGTCAAGGAATCTTGTATGTTCATTAGTTCCCAGCTTGCGGAGCAAAAGGCGCACTTTCCATGAATCATCTTGACGGCTGAAATCCGTCTGGAACATATCCTCCCAACGTTTGAACCACGCCTCGAAAGTGGATTCGGAATCAGCATCATAATGAAATTCAGTGATTGAATTCGTAAGAAGATCAAGTGAAACAGCCTGCGTGTCCCGTGTAGCTGCTCCGTTTGATTGTACGTTTAAGCACTGCGTTAAACTTTCAATCAGTTTCATTTGTGCTTCCATCTGGGATTGTTGCTGAAGAAGCAGCTTTTGAAAATGTTCGGCAGAAAAATTTGTAACATTTCTGTGCTTGTCCGTCGCCATTGTTAGATCTTCCCCTTTTCGCTATTCCGAATGAACCACCCAGGAATTTCTCCGCAGCAATTCTAGCCCAGCCGAAGAAAAATCAAAATTCCAACAGCCTTGACCACGAAAAACGTGTTAACAAAAACTCTGCCAACGTAGCCAGAAAATGCCGCCGAAAACACTGTCCTCTCAACTCTGAGGCAAAAGTCCAATTAGCCGGGTGTTTGAAAACGCATTCGTCCGCTCGATCGATTGCCTGATCGACTGCACGGGGTAGGCGATTCTCTTTAGCCCAGCTTTCAGTCACCATTATATACTTTCCCTTTTTTCTTTTATGTTTTTATCTGATTCCCGGATATAGTGACGAACTCATACTATGTCATTGATGTCCGCTTGTACTGCATCAGTCTCGAAGGTGCGAACAGTCGCTCCTCGCGCTCATTTTGGTCGTTTCGTGCAGCACAAGGCTAATAAAACTATGCAGTTTTTGATGGAGTCATGTTAGCCTGCCATGACCCAATAACAAAGCAGCTGAAGAGGTTGACACCCACACTCACACAAAATACGCGGGTGTTGAAAGAGAGACAGCGCAAAATGCTTCACCCACTTCCATGAAGATGAACAATTCTAATGATCGAGAGGAAGACTTCCACCACTGCCCACTGCTTGCAAAGTCCCGCTGCATTCGCATGACCAAGAGGTGGAGGGAACATAGACCAGTCGCCTTGCTCTCCTGACTTGATAACAAACTGCAACATTAGCATAGACAAATTACGCTGATAATGGTGACGTAAACCTAGCCTACACCGTTCCAAGATCCGTGCAGTTGAATGGGTTCTCGAACACGCCCAAATAACATACGCGAAGGCCCATAGAGCGACAGGGGACAACTGGGTCACCGGTTCTCATCGAGCCAGTTGATGCCCACAACCAAGGGGAGGGATTGCAAAACCGCTCACTGTTTATGCAGTTACGTTGCATTCGCGTAAGCACAATGTAGCCGGAATATTGTGCTCCTCCCTGAATTGATAACATGCTACAGATGTAAATCAATGCAACTACATTGGTTTAGGTGGATTCATAATAGCCAACAGTGTTACAGTGATTGCATCGCATAGGTTCGCCCATACACCCACAGGAAATCTGCGAAACCACATAGAGCGACAAGGGACAACTGGGTCGCCTGCTTTGCTCGAGGTGAACAACGTTAATGTTCGAGAGGAGGGCTTGCACAATCGCCCACCGCTTGCACAGTCCCGTTGTATACGCGCGAGCACAGTGTCGTCCGAACATCGTCCAGGCGTTTTACTCCCCTTTCTTCGGTATATATAAATAAATAAATAAACAAATATATATATATATATATATATATATATATATATATATATATGAAGCCACTGTTTGCCCCATGCTGAGGCTGAGGTAGCATTCATGATGCTTCTTCACCGCAGTGGGGCTAAACTAACGTACAATTAAACTAGGTCTTTTTAATGTGGATAAAATTCGTTACATTTTATTTGTTTTGCTCTGCGTACTTGAGAATCTTCTCCCAACTTGCACATGTCGCTCATGCAAATTGTGGTAAACTTGCATAGTTGTATCGCGTGGTATTTTTCAAATAACTCGGACATTTTTTAACTTATCGCGAATTTACTTATAACCAATTTCTTCTATGTGCTCATTAAGCGAGTATTCATGTCGTCATATGTGTTTACTTTATTCGATGTCGGCATGTTGAGTGATTAGCTGTTGTTTACCATCCCAGGTGTGACTGCGCTTGATGTGCATGTTGACAAGGTGCCTACCTGTCTATTACCCACTACCTCGTCCATCTGGCTCCAGGAGACAGTTGGTCGTTGCTAGAGGGGACCGGGCGCACGGTCCTTGTGGTCGTGCTAGGCTCGAAGAGTGGTTCCATGCAGTCAGTGTGGAGCGGACTACGGTCCAGCCACCGCCTTGTGTGCGATTTATTCCCCAAATACAGCGTGCTTGTGGTTGCCTGTGAAGGAGTGTGGGCCGGCTCTGTTGATGAAACGTGGCTCCCATTCGTATGCCTCCCGGTCTTATTCCTTCGGGTTTACACTGGATATGGGGTGTATGGATGGAGCTGTGGGTGGTGCAGCGCAAGCCACCCATGGTCCCTCTGTAAGCGCAGGCGTCCTGTGACTGGCCACGGTGACAGGCAAATCCGAAACCGGATGCCGCCAACCATGAAGCCACTGCCAATGCGGAAACTAAGCAGACTTTCACTGGCGGTTGAAAACCGCCATTCAGAAAGCACATCCTCCATGACTCAAACATTTCTCAATTAAATAATCAAGACAGATACTGTCCTAGGGTAACGATCGTGAAATCTCACATATCCGGTGACACACGAGGAGGAAATGCATACTGAAAATGGTTATTTTTGTGCGGGAAATAGTGCACAGGAGTTAGGAAAGAGGAATATGAAAAGTCGTCAAGAGATGGAAGGAGAGATTAGTTACTACCCACGATGAATAGTTGGAAATATGAAAGCGAGGGAGATGCGCAGAACCGGTGAGTACAAGGAATCTAACAGGCCTGACTGCTGAGTTGGTTAAAGATGGAAAAATCCACAGTATTGGAGTTTCGATTGACCAGATAGTGAATATTCGGAGCGTGTGATGAAGAGGAAAATAAAAAACTGAAGAGAATGGGTGTGGAAATATGAGTAAAACAAGGGGAAGAAAGTCAGAAGGAAAGGTAACCAGGGAAGTGTTCATAAAGCGTGGTGACATTTCCAAAAAAGATTTGCAGTGTACATCAAATAAGGATAGCGATTCAGGAAAATGTATAAAAGTGAGAAATAGCATTTAAGATCAACTAGAAAGATGGACTGTGCATTGAGCCGATACAGTGTTTTCAGTCCAAGCACAGAGAGTAGTGTGGGATCAAATTCTGAGATATACAACCCATTGTAGCACAAAAGATTAAACGCCGTGTCCAGGGAAACCACTTTTCACAGAGCAATGTTTGCTAAATCCCAGCCGTCTATTTTGGCTAAGTCATGTCCTTCGTATGCTCGTCGGCCGGCTTCCTCAGGCTGCATTATACGCTACAGGCTGAATTAAGTTGGGCAGAAGCGTTAGGTGGTCAGTAGATGATAGAAAGACAAGAAGAAACTGACCGAAAGACTTGGTTAGGCAGGTGCATGTTGTTCTCATGGAAAGTGGCGCCTGAACGGTCCACACCAGGGATTGGAGACTCAACCAGCTATTGTACAGTTGCGCAGTCCGTGGCCTTGATGCATTCAGTTTCGTGTAACCAATCCCCTTTAGTTTTGCGCACTTATGTCCTGATTCCAATCTCTCCCTCTTTCGTTGTATTCTATTTGCATTCAACCTCATTTCCTCACCATGATTGTTAGTGTTAATTTGGCGACGTGTTATGGTAACTGGATCCACCGCATTTCGGTGCCCGAATCATAACTGCTCAAGTGAAGTGAAGTGAATTGAAAAAATAAATGAGTGAATATTTATTCTCGACTAGGTGAAGCTCGCACACTGAGGCATGAGCAGACAGATGCAACTGGGCAGACATGACAATTGCAAGGGTGTGAAGTAAAAGTGTTCAAACGTTAATGATTGAAACTGTACAAATGGTACAAGTTAAAAAATGAATAGATTTGATTGTCGTGAGATCGGGACAAGTTTGTATGGACATAATCAGTCTGCCATATATAGCAGTAATATATCAGCTACGAGCAGATCAAGAATGCAGGAAGATCGATTAGCAAAGAATTGGTGAAGAGCAAAATCGACAGTGATGTGACGATACACTGGGATCATGTGAACGTAAGGGGTGAAATGGTAGAAAGAGAAGTGACGACGAAATATGCAGATGTAGAAGTGTCAGCGTAATGTGCGTTCTAAAAATACTGAAATATGGCGCTTGTCGATTTATCAGGGTGGAGCCATGCGCTGTGAAGTTAATCCGTGGCGAGTCACATCCGTTACGTCGCAGTAATGTTAAACAGACATTTGCGGCTTTTTATAGGAAGAAGGCTTGCCAGGCGAATGCCGCACATTTACCCGTTAACTTCGACTGTATAACACAGGTTTGCTCCAGTATCCTGGGTTCCAAGCTTTAAACTAATGAAGCCGGATAGCGTTTAATCAAAAGTCGACAATAAACGAAGGTTTTCTGTACAAGCACAAGACATAAATGAAAGCAGTCTGCGTAACTCACGTTGAGCTGTAGGCGATAACGCGATTTGCGGCCGCAACCAAACATCGCTCTAGGTTGCGTATGTCCACCTCTTCGGTATATTTTGTGCGGAAATCTCGGGGATCACGTATCAACGAAGGTAAAGCGGATTTTAACAGTTGGCACATGGCAGCTCCCAACTCCCGTCGCACGACTTCCATTTCATGCAGCAGCTCCTGCGCGAATAGAACGATAGGGTAGTCCAAGGGGATTGGAAAATAGCATAGTGTATCAGTTAATCAGAACAAGAATGCAGTAGCAATCGTACATGATGCAACTATGTTAAAATAGTTAACATTAAAAATCAGTCGATGTCAGTAGAAAAATCTGCGTGGTAGTAGCACAAGCTCTAACGTCAGCAAAGAGCATCGGTATAGAGTTCATGAAAAGACAGGACAGGTCAAAAAGCGGAACAGCAAACGCAAACATAATCGTCTATCTCAGGAGACAGACAGAAAGTAGGTATGTGACGACTATCTGATTTGGAAGCTGGATGTGAAGAACCTCAATTAATGACATCAAAATACCCTACTCATGAGTACATCAAAATATATCTGCCCTAGCAGTTTTTAAAAGCTATGTCGTACATAACTACTGTTAGTGTACGTCGTGTCCTTCGGAGCTAACCCTGGCCTCTGCAACGTTCGTAACTTGCATGGCAGTGGTGGACAAGACGCGCTATATCGCAGTTAGTTTGAAAAACATGACGGTCCGAAGCTGTCCCCCGTGGCCCAGTGGCATAAGCTGCTGACTGGCGGTTCAAACCGCTCTTGGTCATGGCTTGGAATCCTGATGGATCCGATGGATGAGCATTATTGACGATGCCCAATAGGCTGAAACTGCAGTCTGGCGTTTTTCCGGGCATGTAGACGACGATTTGATTTAAAAACTGGCTGCGAAGAACCTTAATTAAGGAAAGTAGATACGTTCATTGTCACTGACTAATATACTACGAAACGTTGCGAACATCCGCTGTCTATCACATTGGTTAGGTTCCACGATGCGGACACCAAAACATCAAAATGCAAAGAAGGATGGGGATGGGGATCTTAACCAACTCCGAAAGTAAGAGTACAGGAGACGGTGATGTACAAAATAATTGTATGTGGTCAAAGAATCTATGATGCAGATTAAAGTGTCCGGCTTGTAGTCCTAGACCCCAGACTGGAATCAACGCTCTTGACAGTAAGACTGGATGCCCCCGGTAGTGTCCGAGCCCATGCACAACCGATTGCGGCCGTATGACGAAGACCTAATAGTACAATGCACTGGCACACTAACGATAAAGCAGTCACAGGGTTAAAACGCAAATTAAAAAATACCGATTGAAAAGCAAGGACGTAAAGTGTTCAGCTAATCCAACAAAATGACAGTGCCACAGCAGTAATAGTCAAGTTATTTCACTTCGAACCGAAAGCGAAAGTAATATAGATGCTTAACTGTGACAAGCGTCCTAGTTGTTACACTCGCCCGACCGGAATGGGCGAAGTGCTTTTCACCGTTAGTATTCCATGTGAAGAGTAGCCAAAGGAATCCCGATCGGAACGGAATAAGTGACGTCGGACGTGTACACCTGATCTGAGAATGAAAACTAAGCGCAAAAGATGAACACGGCCGCATTGACGCCCCGAATTAAGAATAATGGACAGGAGTTCGTTTACCGACTCAACCAAAGGTAAACATGCCTTCTATACCTGTAGTTATAACTGAACAATATAGCAGCGTAATACATAGTATATGAAGAAAAGTGAATGTTAGTATGGATTATGAGTTGCCCCGTAGTGGCAGTTCCAAAGAGAAAAGTTGAAATCAATGGGGCATGAGAAGGTAAATATAGTATGGCCAAAAAGGTGAGTTGAAGCAAAGCCTGTGAGGTTTGTGCTGACATACAACAGCGGTTTCAAGGAGGAGAGCTCAGCTATTACCTGCACAGTCTGAATCGCTGCGTGGTGACAGCATTGTCGAAGTTGAGTGTAAGTTTCGCGGAGTTATGTGAGTCCCACAGCATTACACTTCAGGACTTCATCTCTTACAAGGAAGCAGCTGCATGAAATAGCGCGTCGAAGATGACATAAGAGCTTGCTACAAAAAAGCACCAGGTGTCCGAAATCTGCGGTAGTGCGATACTAAGTTCGCGTGAAAACGACGTTTAAGTTTGATTAAATGACAGTTGCTCTTTATCAAAACAGCAGCTAACGAGTACATATACGGCTTGCAGCATTCATTTCCAAATTAGCCCATCACTGCGACTGCAGACAGCCATCCATCGCAATGAGGCTAGACCTTACCGTGGTGCGATGGTTTGTGTGCCTCAGTGATCCATTGAGCTATACTGGGTGGTGCTTTTGCACCTTCAGAGCCACTCATACCAGATTGGTCAATGGTTAGAGGCCAGACAGACTCAGCCTCCTGGTCCTCCAGGTTGGGGGTTGGAATGAGGGTGGCACCTTATTCCTTAAAACGGACTCCTTGTAGTCCAGTGCCAAACCCGCTGCCTTGCGGCCAGGTTTTGAACCAAAGGCTTTGGTTGAGAACCCTAATCGTTCTCCTGTCTAGGCCTGGGCAACCTGACAGTATCCTGCCCACGCAATACAATGAATCATTTCCCGAAACAAATTTCTGATGCTCTGGCCACCGCAGAGGATAATCAACGGTGCCCTATCTGCTGCATCGAGCAGGGTGGATAGGGGTTTAGATGCTACTGCTCAAGCCTTCCCGTCTTCTTATTCCCTCTCTTGCGCTTTTTCATCCTTATCGTTCTGTTCCAGCTTCACTTTTATCCCCCTGTTTTCAGCCCCCCAATTCTCCGCTCCCCCCCCCCCACCTTGCTTCAATAGTCGCTTGTCTTTTAGTTTCAACTCACAGGTGAACGCAGAGCGTCATTCCTGCACTGTCAACAGGCACATGTCCAAGCAAGCTGCCCATTCCAGTTCATCGGCTTCCATTTGGAGCCCTCGATCCTCCTTCAGACTGGCATGCCTCAATGTTCGCACATTGCTTCAGATCGGTCAACAGACAGCACTTGCCCGAACATTGGAGACCCTATCGATCGATATCTGCTGCTTATCGGAGACCCGCCTGTAAGACTCGAGCTCTGTACTCACTCTGCGATCCCCTTCAGGTGACACTAGCAGCACTTTCTCATTGCGCCTATCCGGTGACGATGCAGCTTCGAGCACCGGCCAAGCCGGTGTTGGTATCGCCCTGAGTCCCCTGGCTGAAACTGCTCTGGTTGATTGGATTCCAATCAGTAGCCGGATGTGTGCGGTCCGATTGCCTGGCTCGTTCAAAACTTCGAAGTGACGCGGGACTAACAGGTGTCTATTCGTTATCGCTGCCTATGCACCGACAAACTGTAGCGATGACTCGGTAAAAGACGACTTCTATCGCCAACTGAACGAACTCCTTCGCCACAGAAGAAGCTCGGACACTGTAGTGCTGGCTGGGGATCTAAACGCTCAAGTTGGAAAATTATCCGCAAATGAGCTGCATCTGGGCGGCCAACATGGTATAGGCTCCCGTAATGATAACGGTGAGCGGTTACTTCATTTGTGTGAGGATGCTCGCTTATTTCTTGCGAGCACTAATTTCCGACACAGCACCCGCCGGAGGGTGACTTGGCGCCCACCAGCCTCGAACGAGCTATGGACGCAAATCGATCACATTGCTATCAGTTACGGCTGGACAGAATGCGTCCAGAACTGTCGCTCGATTTGGAGCACATGTGTTGACACCGATCATGCACTTGTATGTGCTGACCTGCGGATGTGTTTTGGCGGACGCCCGCGACGATGTTGTGAGCGCAATGACACCGGCAGACTGGTGAATCCAGCTGTTCTGAACGCCTATCAAATTACGCTGTCATCCGAGTTGGATAAACGCTCACTGGATGTAATTGAAGCTCATTGGTCTCATATGCAACAGGCCTTAATAGCAGCAGGCAAATCCTCATGTGGTATGTCTAATCGCCAACATGGACATTGGGTCTCTTCACAGTCTTTGGAACTTATCAATGCTCGCCGGCATATTCCGGCTGGAAGCGAACACAATGAAACTCGCAAAGAGCTCCGGGCAAAAGTCCGTGCTAGCCTGCAGAGAGACCGCGAATCCTGGTGGTCTCGTCGTGCAACAGAGATGGAAATGGCCGCTGCCCTTGGTAACCATCGTGAGTTATTCCGTCTTATACGGGAAACGGGCAGCAGGAGATCTGGTGTTAGTGAAACTATACGTGACGAGAGTGGACAGCCTATCCACAATTTATCAAAACGCCTGGAACGTTGGGCTGAGCACTTTGAAAGGCAATTTAATCGGTCGGAATTGTTAGATTTCTCGCCGACCAGTGATCGACCTGCTCCGTGGGCTGTTCCTTTGGATCCACCCTCTCGCTCAGAAGTCCAGCATGAGATCAAACTGCTGAAGTTAAATAAAGCCGCAGGACCTGATGACCTTCCTCCAGCCCTCTTCAAATTCGGGGGACCTGCTCTTGTGGATGATTTACACGAGTTAATAGTGAGAATGCGGGAGCAGGTAACTGTACCAACCGATTGGAGCCGCTCCACCTTAGTCCCAATTTTCAATGGAGGCTCACGATCGGAATGCGGCAACCATAGAGGAATCAGTCTGATCTCCATCGTCTTTAAATAGCTTACCTCTGTCATCCTTCACAGACTGACTGGCACTCGTGAAAGCCAGATTCATGAACAGCAAGCTGGATTTCGTCGAGGTCGTAGCTGCATTGACCACATCTTCACCTTGCGTCAGTTGTTGGAGCACCGTCACATATATTGGCGGCCCACCGTTGTCGTGTTCCTCGATATCAAAGGTGCATTCGATTCGGTGGATAGACATGAACTTTGGGACTGTCTACTCAGGAAAGGTGTACCTGAGAAATATGTGAATATTATCCGAGCATTATATGCTCGTAGCTCGGGCAGAGTGAGGGCTTAAGGAAAGTTGTCGTCGCCCTTTAATATTTCCATCGGCGTGAGACGAGGATGCCCGCTGTCACCTTTCCTCTTCAAGTTCGCCATTGACGAAGTCATGGAAACCGCATCCACAGGACACGACTTAGAAGGTGTGGAGCTACTCCCAGGAGAAAGACTTCTTGATTTAGAGTATGCTGATGATATTGCCCTAATCTGTGACAGCTCCCAGACGTGCTAAGCGGCACTGGACA